TGCTGTGAAATGAAAAAAAGATGAGGCATATTTTACAGTGTTGTAGAGACTGAGATCGGTGTGCTGATTTTCTTCCACATACCTCATTTGACTGTGGAGACATGCTATATAAGCATCTGAAAAAATCAGCAATTTGCTGTGAGTACTTAAGCTAGTCTTCGCATACAGTTGTTAGTATTGTTGTGTAATTTACTGTAGTCAACTTTCAAAGCACAATGCAAATTATCTAGCAAAGTTATAAAGAAAAAACAAAACAAAACAATAAAACGATGTATTTCAAGTAACAGTCACTTTGTTAAAGAAATTCATTTTTTCCCTATTTATTCTATAGAATAAACCACTAAAATAGAGATGTGTGTTTTCTTCACATTAAATCATCACATATAGATGGAGAAAATTACTGTTGAGCTGGTGCAACTGCTTTTCAAATAAAAGAGTCTCTATTTCAAGTAGGGAAAGGAGTATAATTTTGGGTCATCTGCAAATTTTGTCACATGACTATCCATCTCCCTGTGCCAGGCTGGTAACTGATATATTTAACTGTACTAGTCCTTGTAAATATTACCTAGTGGGGACCTTGGTGTATTCTGTTATGTATCTTTTGCTTCTATTGAAAACTTATTATTCATAGCTACTTTTTTCCCCCTGGGCATGTCTACACAAGGCATTTACTCTGGAGTAGCCTAGCTAGCTCTGCAGTAAATGTTTTGGCATCTACACGTGCAGCCCTGTTAGGACATAGGAAACTAATAAACTCTGTAGTAGGTTAGTACTTGCAAATACAAGCTTTATCTTGCTGCAGAGTTTTGGGGTTCTTTTGGATGCAGAAGTGCATTTGTAAACACTCACCTAGCTGGTTGGGGTACATGGGTGCTTCAGTGTGGGGGCTGACTGCCCCTTGTGCCCCAAGCCAGCCCCTCCACAGAATGTTGAACCAGGGTGGAGCAGCCCGGGGTGGTAAGATGGCCTGCTGGACCTCCTGCCAGCCAGGGCTGCGCTGCCCTGGCTCAATGTACTGTGGTCCCAGGCATCCAGGAGCAATATGCACCAGAGTTTATTGCTGGGCATTAATATGCACATGTAGCTATACCCCCTGTATCCTAGCCAGTTATTAATGATGGTACTTCTTATCTTGTGACTATTTAGTTTCTTTAAGAGCCTCTCTTGTGGATTTCTGTTAAAGGCTTTTTGAAAGTCTAAATAAAACATGTCTTCAGTTCTCCATTATCCCATATATTGCTGACCTCCTAAAATAATTCTGTGCTAGAGATTATACCTGATAATGGAATAGATTTTATGGGTCCCAGGATTACTGTTGACACCTCTCTTCGTGAAAGCAGTGCTTTAGATTTCAGGATTATGATGTCACTTTAGATGTACCCTCTTCTGAAAACCTACAGCTATATCTGAGTGCACAGAGATTTTTAAACAGTAACTTAACCAGGGTCCATAGTCCACAAACTCCTTCTGTCCACTACTCTAACCATGTTTTTATTCTAAATAACACAGTAAATAATTAAATAAAGATTATTCATGCATTTAAATTCATGCATATTTTTCAATTTTTGACAGGAGTATCATTTTATGAGCAAGAACAAGAGCAAATTACACTACTGCCTGTTACTTGCTAATGCAGAGGTGGGCAATTATTTCAACTGGAGGGCTGCTTACCCAGTTTTGGCAAGCTGTTGAGGGCTGCATGTGTAGCCCCACCCCTTGACAGGTGCCCCACTATCTTGTGACTGGAAGTCCTGCCCCCTAACCCCTGACCTTTGCCCCCTGAAGTCCCCCCCCTTGCTCCCAGAAGTACTCCTTTCAGCAAGGGGTTTTGTCATCTTGGAACGAGAAAAATACAAAATTATATTCTCAAAAGCAAACATCTAAAATATTAATTTGATTTCAAAAAATATTTTGTCCTGTTTACATGTGTTTGTGTAATGTGCATAGAGGTAATTGTATATAATAGCTTCAAACAAAGTCTTATTCTTGTATATTATGGCAGGGCTTAGGTTTGTAGGTGCAGGGGCATGTGGGGCATGTCTGTGGTGGGTAGATAGGTGGGTGGGTGTGGAGTGAGGGAGCATGTGGGTGGGTGTGGATGTGGATATGTGGGGTGTGGGGCTTTGTGAGAGGGAAAGTGGCTGGGGTATATGACGGGGTGTGGGAATCTGTGTGTATGGCAGTGGAAGGGGGTGTGTGGATGCATATGTATGGTGGAGCATGCATGTGGGACTCACCCTAAAAATACACACATGAACCTGGCTACTGGTACATCTCATGCTCTCTGGTCCTGGGATGCAGCTGGGAGCCACGTGGTGCCAGAGCAGTGTGGGGGCAGGAAGGCAGGGAAATGGCTGGGGGTGGGGCAGGGAGCCAAGAGTAGATAATTTAAAAAAAATTTTTAGGGGCCCTGTGGGCCAGATAGAATGGCCTGGCAGGCGGGATGCCTGCAGGCCGTATTTTGCCCACCCCTGTGCTAATGCCTATAATTTAACTTACAATCCCTTTCTTGTATGGCAGCTACTATTTATTTGAATAAGTACAATGGAGGCAAGAACCATTTCAATACTAAGTATACCCAAAAGCCTCAGGAGGCATGGGGAGGGAAGAAGGGAAAAATAAATTCTGAGGTCCAATTAAGCATTGCTTTCTTTTGCCCGCCATTTCCTGTGAGCACTCAACCAATGGTGAAGAGAAATTAGGAAAAAGGGTCTCCCTAATTATTGAGTAGGTTAATGGAATGGTGCTTATATGCCTTTTCCCTATTCAGGGTATTATTTTAAATCCATAAGTAACCCATCAGTCTCCTGGGATTCCAGTAGGATCAGCACTGGCAGTTTGCTACGAGCATGGCTCCAGTTCCCTCCTAGACACTAGAAAGGTTCTTCTTTTTTTTAATCCCCTGCATTTTATATATTTTTCTCTCAGAAGTTCAGAGACTTGGTAGTTAGAGTAGGTGTAATAAGTTCATGTAGTCACAACTTGGTAAGTGGCCAATGCTGGTGCTTATTCTGTAGGTATCTGACTTCCTTGTACATAAGAATTAAGTCCAAACTAGGGGAAGACAACTTATGAAGAATGTGGGACTAGAGTTCCTGGTATCTTGTACAGCAAAGGGCTCACCTATTTTGCCCACACCTTCAACTATCATACAAAGGAAGGGCTGGAGGGATTCCAGCAATGGTGCTGACACCAATTAAAAATTTGGATAATGGGGTGAGAACTAGATGTATCTTTCCATTATTCAGTATGGATTTCAGACGTTAGGTTGGGCTGTGCTGGAAGAGTTAATGTTCGATATTTCCCTAGATGTGATAATGAAGTTGTAGCCTATTTAAGTCACCTTCCTGATGTCTTGTCTTGTTTCCTGGGGTGTCCAGAACAAATATATATTGCTGCTCTGCAGAACTAATCTTCTCTCACAGTGATAATGTGTATACATGTTCATGCATTACTAGCCCACAAATGGCCCAGTTGGTCAAGTAATGCAGTAGGTTGTACAAGGAAGATTAGCTTGAGTATATTAAAGCAGGATTTATAAACAGATTCGTTAGGCAAGTCATGTACAATAAGTCTTTCATTTTCATCATTTTAGTGAACATGCACAAAAGCTGTCACTGTTACAAAGAGCTACTGCTCCTCTGGCAGAGACAATAAGAGAAAACAAATGCAATGGGACACTTTGGAAAAGTCATTTCGCTATTCAGCATTTTTTGCTGTCATTTAACATTTCACACACTTTCTTTCAAACAGCAAGTTTATTATAAAAGCGTGACTTGTCCCAGATATTTGTATTGAGATCCACTAAGCTCTGTCTTTTCAGACTACTATGCCTTTTAAGCTACAAAGCAAAATTCATAGGATTTTGTAGGGGTCTGTTTGACCTTATAACAAGTTTAGTGAACTGGAGATGAACTAAACTATTTAAACTAAGTTCTTTTGTCTTTTATTCGCACTCCTGAGTTTTCCCAGTGTGTGTATGATATAGAAAATGACAAAATGTAAGTAATGATTTTTCCTTCTAGGAGGTAGGAAGGGCACTTCATTAACATATGGATGCCTGTCCACTAGAAACAGTTCTGCAATCACCAGCTCATTTAACACAGTCTACACTTTGAAACAACTGTCAAACATAAAAACTTTCAGTCAGAATGAGCCAGATTTGTGATCTAGAGGTGAAAGGCTCTGGAGTTTGTTATCCTGCCTTACAACTAGGTTTTATCATTTTCTAAAAAGAAAAAAATCTCTTCTTTCATTGGCTCTAAAACTCAGAAAATATATGTGTGCAGAACAGACAATAGACTCTGTGTTTGTGTGCGCATGTATTCTGTTTATATTCCCTTTTTTCTGTCATGTGTACATATACACCCATGCTCATACAGATTTATGAAAAGATTCATGAAATTTTTATCTTTAGAGAAAGACAAAGGGACATTTTGCTATATTTCTTCTCACACAAAGACCACACAAATACTTCCCAACAGAAAAATACTTAAATTCCTATTAAAAGAACAACAAAGCAAGAAGTATAAAAGTATCCATGAGAGTCTGAGCTGAACTGGCCACAAGATGGCTCCTTTTTGGGAGCAACAGAATTGTTAAATATGCAAAACTCCAGAAAACAAAGGCATAAGAATGACACAGAAAAACAGACGACGCCATTCTCTGTTAGCTGTTTTAAGTACTATATAAATTGACATACCTATGCTTTTCTAATTAAGATCCCTGAATGACTTTGTTTAGTAAGACATATCATAAAAATTGAAGAATACTTTGTATACTTGCAAACAGGCAAGTAATAGTATCCTACCATTTTAGTAATCTGTGGTTTTAAAACTATTAAAAGTACATAACTATACTGGCGTTAGCAAAGTAGTTGCAGAGATTTAGAGGGCAAAAGCTAATAGTTAAAAGTTTTCTCCACTGTTTGAGAGAGAGGTTCTACCCTGCCTCCATGGTGATATTCATCTTTATTCAGATCTCACTCTCATTCTGTGCAGGTCCAGCTGAAACTTCAGAAAGAATACTTATTCCTGTGCATAGATTCTCCAGATGAATCAAGACTGACATCCACGGCAAATAACAATTTCCGGTCTAAAAATGGGGAAAAAAGAGAGATTGCTCCAAGGAAAATTTCCAACAACTGACAGTGACAAGTCGACTGGAAGATTTGAAAGAGTAAGCGTGACTTCCTCTGATGATACATTGAAAAATCACCTAGTACATCACAGCTGAAGAGAAGAGTACGCCATGCAGTTTTTAAGCTTCTTTTTTTAACGCTACCATTGCTGAACTGAAAAATCACTGTACAGTTTTATTATGTTACGATAATATTAGTAGGCTAATTTAATTGAAACTGTCACCTTAGTCACTTCATTTTACCTTCATTTTAATTATTTGCCCTAGCATGGTATTACTGTAGTTGAAAGAGTGAAAGAATGTAAAATTTCTATAAGCATTCATTCCAAATCAAGACCTGTATTGATCTGATAATAGTCACAAGCTTTTTTTTCTGTTCCATGTGTACTTGAATTAATAAGTTTTACTTGTGCTCACTAGAGCACTTTTTATGCTTGAATACTCAAATATTCATTGGAAGTGAATTTTGAAGTATACTTTCCCCATTTCTAGCTGCAATTTGTTTTTTATTGATTAGTTACATAAAGAATGAGTAAAAACTGAGTAAGGGCTTCAAGGTGTCAACCATATTAGATGGCAGCACTGAAATAGAATATTACATTCCTGTATTATGTTGATGTTTCCATTCTGAAACACTGGTATTTCAGAATACCAAAATAGCTGAAATACAGTTTTATGTTTGCTTTTACTACTGTAAGTCAATAACATAATGAGGTGCTTTTTATAGAACGTTATGAATAAAAACTTCTAGTAGTGACAGGAAACCAGAAAGGATGAATTAAACTAAGGATGACTGAAGATCAGAGTGGGTGATCTTCCTGCAGTATATTTCTTGTAGCTCGTTATAGCATCACGTGAGAGAAGATTATGGAGAAGACATCTCAGTTTTAACTGCCTATTTTAAGAGGGAATAACTAGACCATCAACTTGATTCCAGACTAATGTATTATATACAAATACTTGCCTCAGATATTATGTTAATATTCTTGCAAGTTCACTGAATACCACTTTAACAACTATCAATATAATTACTCTTTGTAAGAATTGGAACAAGTGGGTTTGATCCATTATAGTTTAAGATCCATGTAACTTGTAAAAATCAGAGTAAAAAAACCCAAACAAACCTCTGCCTGCACTTTTAAAAATGCACATATATTTGACTGTTTACATTGATGTGGGAAACTATAGCAATAGTAATTGAGATTTTATGGATGCAAATAAATATGTAAATGCCATAGGATCTACCACATACAGGAAAAATGTGTGTTATTAATGAAGTTGTGACCTTGCATGTTCACAGTGTCTGATTAAGCACACCATGCTGGCTGCTCATCACATTGTTTGAATGGGATTCACTCCTTCCTCCTATGGAACTTATGGCCACTATAGTCACAGTTCACCGACCAGTGGTGATTTCGAGTTTACTACTTTACAGGTTAGAGCAGCACCTATATAGTAGTAAATGTCACTGGAATAAGTGTCAAACGGGCTTCAGGCTCAATAAGTTATAACTGTCTCCCTGATGCTCCCCATCTCTTGCTATCAGTGCTACTGAAGTTAGCTGCTGCTATGAGCCTGTTTGACTTGGGTAGATAACAAATACTGATTAAAAAATACTACATAAACAAGCCATGGATGTAATTTGATCCCACAAAATATTAAGTGAACAACCTGAAATAATGAAAAAAATCATGAATAATCACAATCTCTCTACATCTAATTTACTAACAACAAGAATAAAGGGACTGTATTCAGTGAAAAAATAATTAACAATGAATAATTTGGATGACTATTCTATTCATTTTCTTCCACTGCTTTATTGTTCCCTGTCAAACTCACGCATATCCCTTTTTTCTTCCATACAACTTCCATCCTTGATGGATAGAATTTGTGATTTGGCAGCCATCTCTAGCCAATTACAGTATGAGATCACTGATGGAAGCTACTGTGGCTACCTGACTGGCTGGGGACTAGGTCATTTTAGTCATCTACAGCATTTGATTCACTGCTTTTAAAGGTCTGAAGAATAACAAAGGGGAACTGAAACTCAAATATATTCTATGGCATGCATTCTCTTAAGAGGATAATTAGCTATTTCATTAGAACATCAGATTTAGATGCAGACCAAAAACAAAGTGTGAATCAAGACACAGCTAGAACTAATCTATAGTTTAGGCCAGGGATGAGCAAAGTCTGGCCTGCAGGCCAGATATGGTTAGCAGAGGACTCCATTTCCCAGCTGCCCCTGTGCATGGTTGGGGCTGCTCAAGGTTGGGGTTGCCATGGAGACCAGCCCCAGCTGTGCTGGCAGGGCATGGGCAGAACAGGGCAGGGAGCTGCTCTGGAGCTGCTGGGATCTTGTGATGGGGGCAGCTTGCTCTGGATCCAGGGCAGAGTCATGATCTGTAGCCTGCATGCTCTTAGCAGAGGCATGCAGGCAGGGGATCACAGCTCTGCCCTGGGTCTTTGCAGTGGTGACAGCCTGGTCTGGAGCAAGGGCAGAGTGGCAATCCCCTGCCTATGTGCCCCTGCGCAGAGCATACGGGCTACAGAGCACAGTTCTGCCCTGGATTCAGAGCAAGCTGCCCCCATCATAAGATCCCAGCAGCTCCAGAGGAGCCCCCTGCCCTGCGCTGCTGCACACGCTGCCAGCGTGGCTGAGGCTGGCCTCCATGGCAAGCCCAGCCTTGAGCTTTCACAGTGCAGCTGGGACTGGGGTCTCCATGGAGACTGGCACCAGCCTTGCAGGCAGGGTCTGCTGGGAAATGGAGTCTGGCTGCTGGCCAGATCAGCCATTTTGTTGTCATGTCTCCCCAGCTCCCAGTTTAGGTTAATTTAAGATAAATGAACCAGAATTCCAATCAGAAAGATGCCCAAAATCTGAAACATTTGAGTTTGTATACCCAAATGTGGACATAAGATTGACAGCACAGGATCATCTCTAACTGTAAGTAAGGCCCCTGCTACTCGTTACATATATTATGCAATTAACTGGTGAATGGCACAATACATTTAGACACGCATGCAAAGTAATTATCAAACCAGTAAAACTGGATAGAAACCAGCTATAGAGTTGTTACACATTGTCAATCACTAAATTTGTATTTATTTGGCTCTTTTATATCTACATACTCCTTTTTATTTGAATGTGTGGCAGTGGCCTAAGCTCTTTAGCTATAACTGGTCTCCAGTTTTCTAAGTTATACTTTTCTCTCCTTGTAAGATGGCCTGAGCCTTTGTTGAAAATGGCAGCATAGAATCAAATAAAAGAGTAAATAAATAAATGAATATGCAATATGTAATAAACCTTTGGCTGCTGATTTTTCAAAATCCAAAACCTTACATTATGAAAAGACTTGTAAGAGTATTTGGTATTCACTACATATATTAAAATGAAGAAGAAGGAAAAAATATGAATTGGTTGCTAATCTTAAAATAACCCAAAATTTAAATTTTATTTAACAAAAAGCATGTCAAATAAAGGTATCACTGGACATGGAAAACACAGGGTAGTGTCTACAGTTTCCTGCTGCACAATATGGATCTAGTGGTAATTTAAGATGATTAGACAAGTAATCTCACAGGCAACACCTTACATTTTCTGTATATACCTTTGTGATTTCTTTTACAGTTCTTTAAACATAAAGGTTGAACAGGACACAATTATTTTGCCTTCAACTTATTCATGTAATGCAAGTGACAAGTTCCAGCCGATAGAGTAGACATCAGTGTCACTTGCTTTGTTTAAAATAGTGAAAATGTTGACCTGTATTCCCATGAAAACTGCCTCGTCCATTCATCTTGATAAAAAATGTACTATTTCTCTGCTTATGTTTTACTCTAACAAGAAGGCAGAGCTATTGCAGAGTTGCCTAATATTTATTTTTCTTATAGAATTAAAGTTGGATCCTTGTAAGGGCGAAGGATGGGGATGGATTCTTCCTGAATTAATGTATAGGACAAGTCTTTAAAACAGTTTCATTCATGGTTTATTTATGTTGCCTTATTTAATAGTACCCAAACATATACTAGATGTTCTACAGAAAGCTACAAGACAAAGTCATGTCCACACATGCTTTATAGTCTAACTTTAGAGGCAACACAAGAGGTGTTGGTGGGAAACAAACAACTGTTGGGAGTTGAGGAGGAAGAAGAAGGTTACATACTAATAAGGTCACACAAAGCAAGGTTATCTCTAGGCCCTCCTCAGTCATATGTAGTGTGACCCCCTCCTCCTTCTGCTCTTCAGCAAAAATAAAGGCAGTGAAAACTGAAGCTCTAAAAGTGCCTCACCTTTGAGGACTACAGTCTGCATTGCTCATAGTTTGCTGAAGTGGGGAAGGAGTTCTTACACAGTGGTGTATTACAAAAAAATGCTCCCTGGCTCTTACAAAAATCAAGCTGGCTAGCTTTCCTTCTTTTTACGTGCCAACTTGCCCAGAGTAGCTAGTTGGGTACACAAATGTGAGCAAGCTGCATCCCACAAAAGGGGCAAGTTATTTTACCTGTGACTGTCATTCCCAGTAAACAAGCAGGTACGTGGAGTAAGGGGAGGGAAATAGACCATGTCTTTTTGCAGCAGGATGCATTCATAGAGGAGGCCCTAATGAGGGTAGCACAGTTATGTCCTGCCACTTATACTCAGGTAGAAGCCTAATGGTTCAGTGTACAACTGGTTTGTCTTCTGACATCTCTTATGTGTCACAGATCAAAGAGAAAGCAAAAGGGACTAAAGCAGAAGTGGGCAAAGTCAGGCCCATGGGCTGAATTGGGCTTGCGATGGATGCCATTTCCCAGCTGGCCCTGCCCATGTCTCTCCGGCTGGTTTCCATGGAGACCCCAGGAGCGGTGGGACTATGACAGCGTGGGGCTGGGGTTTCCATGGATATTGGCCCGAGCAGCGCTGACTGGGTGGGGAGCTGCTTCGTGGCTGGGAACTTGTCCTGGTGACAGATCATGCTGGAGCCTGGGCAGAGTACTCTGCTGCAAGATCCCGGCCTGAGCTCAGTAGCCATCCACCCTGCCAGTACTGCTTGGGCCAGTCTTCATGGAAACCCCAGCCTTGCCGTGCCACTCCTGGGGTTTCCATGGAAACTGTTTGGAGTGACATGGACAGGGGATGCTGGGAAATGGAGTTTGGCTGTCCACCCCTGGATAAGACTTACCTGTACTCCTAAAGCCATGCTGCCACTACACCTCCCACTATTTGACTTGCTGTCCCTTCAGCAACCACAAGAGATGCTGCTTCTCCAGCTGTCCTTGGGACTAAATGGATGTGTCTATATGTGCACTTTATGGTGCAGTAGACTAATTTGCTGTGCAGTAAAGCATCACTGTCTACACATGCACAGCAATGGGGTAGGGGTAGACTAATTTACAGTGCTGTCAGATAGTCCCATCAGACACAGGTACTATGCACCGGCAGAGTAAATTACTGCACTTAAATACATGTGCAGATGGTGATGTTGGGATTAGTTTACTTTGGCTCAAATTGCACTGGAGTTTATTCAGTCGCATTAATTGCATGTATAGACGTGCCCAGTGAATGCCATTTAGACATGTCCTGCTCTTGTTCAACCACATGGAGAGGAGGAAGGGGAACCTTAGCTTGTCCAATATCCTTTTGGTTCACTGCTTAAATTATTATGCCTCAAATTATTACTACTCTCTAAGCCTGATTTCATATTAATTATTAAGAATTTTAAAAATTCTTCACTTCAAGCTATAATTTCTCATTTAAGCCAAAGCTTCCTAATATCCTCTGTGAGTGTACTTTGTGACTGCCCTATACTGCAGAGACTATAAGGGGCACTTGAAGACTGCTTCAGACTGCAAGAGCTATGTAGGTGGCAATAGTATAAATGAGTCAGGCCCTTAACACCTGATCTGGAATCATAATCACAAAATATGAGAAATATTATTTGAAAGAAGCAGGTGCCAGACTGCATGTTATTAAATATGAACTAATAACAAAATTACTCTTGTATGGCTCTTTTCTCAGAAAACCTCAAAGTCTTTTACAAAGAGGTTCCTCTTACTGTTTCCATTTTTCAGATGGATAAATGTGAGGTACAGACAGTGGAAATGATGTACTCAGGTGGTGCATCTACACATGCATTTGATCTGGGATCAGTTTACTCGCAAGTAAACTACTAACAAGTAAATACTCCCAGGCAGATGTCTACACGTGCAGGGAAATGGGAGCAGATTTACTGTTAATGGCAGCAAACTGCTCCCACTTTCTGGGGC